CGCTGGTGCTGTATGTCTTGCCAAGTGTGTCGCAGGGACGCAGTGCCTGGGCCGTGGGCAGGGGGAGGGGAGAGGCTTGAGCAGGGCTTGAATTCCCCCCCTGGAGTGATGGGGGTTCGGGGCTGATCTAATTGCTGGTTAGCCTCAGGCTCTGAGTGATTCTCCCCCTGTCCTGGGGCCCCCCACCACCCTCATTGCCTTCTCCTTTCTGCGAGCTGCTGCTTTCCTGCCTTGCAAACACCCTGTTGGCCAGCAGCAGGCACAGCCCTTGGGCTCTCCCAGCAGCCCCACATAACCATCCTTGCTTGGCCCTTTCCAGGCGCCTGCATGAACCAGGCCGAGGGCGCGGGGAGTTTCACCTGCGAAGTGATTCAAAGGCCGCAGCTTCCAGGGCAAATCCCTTTGGCTGCTCTAGGCCCGGAGACAGGTCGGCACTGCCCGAATGAGGGGCCACGCTGGTGAATTGCAGACTAGCAAGTCCCCAGGGCCCCCAGCGGGGCTTCAGCATCTTACTGGCTAAACAGCCGTGATCCCCAGGGGAGCTCGGCCAAAGCCGCCCTTGTCACAGCCGCTGTTGGCCCTGCTGTGTGGACAGACAAAGCGGAGCAGAGCGGGCCCTGGCCCCAGCTGCTGTTGGCTCTGCAGTGTGGACAGACAAAGCGGAGCAGAGCGTCCCGCTCTTTCCTCCTCGTGCTGAGGCGCCTGGGCTGGAGACCTGCCCTGTGGCTCGAGCTGGAGCAGTGCCCAGGGGATCGGCCCAGCGAAGATCAGGGCTTGGGCTGTCTTCCGGCTCCACCTGCCGCCTCTGGCGGTTTAAAGGCCTTGTCCCCGCGCAGCGCTGAAGGGCTCTAGGGGTTTCCTGCCTGCTTGCACTGCACGGCTGCCAGCATGTCCCTCTGCCCCCACACTGAGCATGCCTGTGGCCAGTGGGGGCGGTGCCACGTCCCCTTGGTGCCTAGGAACTGCTGCCAGAAGGGGATGCCCTGGATAAGCACTGCACCCCCAGTGACGTCACCCCCATGCCCTCCCAGAGCCTTAGGAGAGGGCGCAGGCCCTGGGCATTCTGAGGCCCATCAAAATCTCTGCCAACCTGCGGCCCCTGGCTGCTGGCTGCAAGTGCCGGCCTGTGAGATACTAAGCAGCAGAGGAGCAGGCCCAGTGTTTGACCTGGAAGCGGCGCTTTGGCCTGCTGTGTTCCAGGCCACCCAGCCCTGGGCTGATGAAAGGAGCCCTAGCAGCAGCCTGTCGGAAACCTTGCATATGCGGCTGTTTTCTGTGCTGGTCTCATGCACAGGAGAGGGGGGCGAAGCATCCCTGGTCCTGTCTCACGCGATTCCTTACGCTCTGAATTCCGACCCTTGTTTTGCAACACTCCACGTGCAATTTTATCACCTTCAACAATGGAATCTGTCACCTTCAGGCTGCTTTATCGGGATCTGGGCCTGGAGCCCAGCCGGCTGTAACCCTGCTCAGGGCAGCTTCCACCCGGTGCTGGAGCCCACTCTCACCCCGCCAGCGCCCAGTGATTAGCTCGCTGAGTGGGAGTTAGAGGGGCCACATGGACTGCTCCCAGGGACGGTTGGTTAAACGGTCTCATTCCCAACTCTCTGCGTTTCTTCTGACGTGTGCGTCCAAATCCTCTTTCTGTTGCCTTTCTCCTGCTCTGGGGAACTAAAACAAAAGCGAGAAGCCAGACGCTGCAGGACAGTCAGTGTTCAGAATATTTTCAGACTTGGTTTTGTTTAATTAAATGTAGATTTTAAACGGCCTAACACCACCCGTGTCAGCTAGATTGTGAAAATACCTGCGTGTTTCTTTGAATCAGCTTAGGTGTTGGATCTGATTGGCGATAAATCCACCTGTGATCCTTCTTCAGAAGATGCAGCAACTGTCATAAGAACGGCCACACTAGGTCAGACCAAAGGTCCATCCAGCCCAGTGACCTGTCTGCTGACAGTGGCCAGCACCAGGTGCCCCAGAGGGGGTAGACAAAAGACAATGATCAAGCGATTTGTCTCCTGCCATCCCTCTCCAGCCTCTCACAAACAGAGGCCAAGGACACCATTCCTACCCCCTGGCTAATAGCCTTTTATGGACCTAACCTCCATGAATTAATCTAGCTCTTTTTTAAACTCTGTTATAGTCCTAGCCTTCACAGCCTCCTCAGGCAAGGAGTTCCACAGGTTGACTGTGCGCTGTGTGAGGAAGAACTTTCTTTTATTAGTTCTAAACCTGCTGCCCATTAATTTCACTTGTCTTCACTGCTCTGGAAGTGTCGTGGTTTGTTATTTCCCTTGTTTATCCGCCAATGTGAAATACGGGGGTCAGTGTGCTTCTCTTCGCTGTTTTTTGTGGGTTTACTGTAGGTCCTGCTTTTTTTCCCTGTACTCTTACGTGGTGAGTGCAGCTCTCCCAGCTGAAATAATAGTTTGAAAAAATGAATATGGGCTGATTGAAAATTTTCTGTTGAATTTGGTTTCCCAACTAAATGGTTTTTTTAAAATGAAAATAACCTGCTTCTGCAGAAAATTGTCACTTTTCATCTGGCCTCAGCCCTTCTGCAAACTAAAAATCTTATGGCTGAACTTTTTGGCTTTTTTTTTAACAAAATTCAATTTCCACAAAGATTACACCAATCTTTTTTCATGTTCATGAAATTTTCCACATGGGAAATAAATTCCAACCAGTCCTTTCTGTATACACATACATATGCACGAGCCTGGCTTCTCAGGTTTTAATTTGAAACAGCTCACCTCGAAACAGAAATACTTCCTCAACGGAATGGGGTCTTTTCTTCCTGTGTTCACTGTCGTTTGCTTGCAGACAGTTGACTATGCCTTTTGGCTTGGTGCTGGAGGGTTACTTGCCTCATCCTGGCTCAGTGGCACTGATTTTTTTTTTTTTTTATCAGGAGTTGAAAAGCTGGGTAAAAACTGCGATCAGGAT